AAAAAAAAAAAAAAAAAAAAAAAGGGGCTCCACTGCTTCGCCTGCTGCCAATATGTCAAACGTGTATTTAACGGGCTGAGGTGACAACATATCTTTTATTCATCGCAGCCCTCTCTTCTCTTGATGACGCTGCAGGCCAGGGACGTATCCCGGAGATGATTCTGAAAAGCTGTTCTATATTGTCACGGCTTAACCTACAGCTTGAAAACGGTGTCGCTAATTAATCACCTCTCCCCGTTCATGCGATGGTGGATTTTTTTTTTTTTTTTATTTTATTTTTTTATATCTCCTCCCTGCAACAGATGTGAGGAATTCAATTAAAAGACAGGACAGCTTAGCAAACACACAAACCTGTATTCACACACTCACACACTATAACAAATAATACAGCATGTAGCTTATTAACAAAGGAAACAACAGGGTTTCAGGTGGTTTTATTTTCTTATGGATTTACGGTGCAGTGATAGAAGTTGTTCAAATACTTTGTTATAATCATCACGGATGTTGAGACTAATCTTAACCAGCGATTGTTTTTTAATTTCAGTTGTTTAAGAACTTTGAGAAAACCCTCATTGAGTTTATTGTTATCGGAATCATTGATATTTGCGTTATAGATTCTCCTGATTCTTGGTTTTGTGTGTCCAGGTGCGTTGGGGTGAAAAGGGCTCGACGGAGGAGGGGGCCCGGCTGGAGAAGGCCAAGAACGCCATCGTGTCCATACCCGAGGACGAAGAGCAGCCAATAACGAAACGTCCCACCCCGAAGCCGGCTCCCACCTACCAGGCAGAGAATAAATGGTACACTCCCATCAAGGTAAATACTCCTGCGACACAATAAATACTACTTTACTGCTGTTATAATAAAGATGTGAAGCATTTGAACGAGCTTTGATGGTCGTCGCAACCGAAGTATAGAATTTCATTAATGATAAGTGGTCGGGGGTCAAAGACCAGTTGAATAAAAACCATCAGTTGCACATGGCGGGACCTTGTTATCTAAATGCAGGCCCATGTTTTCTGTTTGATCAGGGTCGTCTCGATGCATTGTGGGCTTTGTTGGGGCGGCAGTACGACCGAGTCTCCCTCATGCGTCCCAGCTCTGCAGAGAAGGTAAGACGCTAAAAACAACAGGAAACCACCAAACTTCTCAAAATCTACAAAACGACAACACAAAAGATCCTGCACATGATGAAGAAATCATAAATAAGCAGATGCGTGCAATACTTCAGTGTGTGTGTGTGTGTGTGTGTGTGTGCGTGTGTGTGTGTGCGGGCGGATACAGGAAATGAGTGTTTCAGTGTTGTGTTGGTTTTTTTTTTGTATTTTAAACTTCGCCTGAAGGGAGTGAGTCACACCAGTGCTGCTGTTTATTGTATTTTAATGTGTCATCATCTTCATTGGCGGCTGTGGCTCGGGAGGTAGAGTGGGTCGTCCACCAACCAGAGGGTCGTCAGTTCAATCCCAGTCTCAAATCGTGTTTTAGTTTCTCATTTGCTCAGAGTGACTCCTTCATATCTACTATCTTATCTACTTTCAACCCACGCTGGCTGCATGCGACGACCTTTTGGATTTTTCACGTCAGCTTTGCACCCGAGCAGGTTCCTCCAGGGGTGTTAAGGGGAGGGGTTTCAAATGGTTTGCGTTGAGGTGCCTTAAATCAAACACTTTTTCTATAAATGCTGCTGTAGCCGCCATAAAAAACCCCTAATCTGCTGCATTTGTTATCATTGCGAATCTTTTCAGTCGCCACAGTTACACGAAAGGACTCATTACTTTATTGCTGTGCTGCATTACAGCTGTGGCGTTTCAGTAATCTGTGTGCTCGGCCTCGGCAGAGGAAGCTGCTGGCACAACTCTGTCATTGTGCTGCTGTTTCCTAATCAGGACACAGCTGCATCGACTCACAGGAGGACGCACCAGGGAGACGAGACCTAATACGGTCAAATCCTGGACTTTTCTCAGCCTTGGTCTGCTGCTAGAAACCAACACACACTGAAACCTGACACCGGCGGTCACTCGGGGGAGCGCGCTCCTCACAAGTGTTGTGTTGTGTTCGCATCTGAGGAACAACGCAGGAGTTTGTTCCACTCGGATACTTAGAGGAACATTTAGGTGAGGGGTGGTGACGGGTAGAGCAGCAGGAGGCAGGACCTCATGTATATACTTGTGTTTGTTTGCAGCACATCGACACCGGCGTCGGTTCTTGACGTCAAAATCTGCGTCTTTGTCTTAAACATGTCTGGCTCTTCTTTTGCATCCTTTCAGGAATATGTCCGGACTTCAGTTGTGTGTGTGTGTGTGTGTGTGTGTGTGTGTGTGTGTATTCTTTAAACGACTTCACCCTGTCAGAGCAAGAATGACTCATGTATGATGTGAGTTTGTTTCTCTGGCACGACGATAGCTCCCTGGCTCCTGGTTGTTTTATGAGGCATCCCGGTGAGTCCAGGTTTTATTTTACGAGATGACCAATCCTGCATATTTTCATGCAGTGCGCTCACTGGCTTTGTTTTCGTGCTGAAATGACAACAATTCCCCTGCACGACCTTCGTCCGACCGTCGGAGTTTCGAGCAGGAAAAAAGGCAGATCCCACGGTGTGAGAGATGATAGATGTCTCCACACATGGGGTCGCCCCGGTCGCTCCGAGCGAACTGTTCTGAAGGAGGAGAAAAGTGAGAGCGAAACCCGCTGGTGAGTAAACCAGTTGTGTCAAAGCACTCAGACTGGGAGAGGATGGGCTGCCAGCGGAGTCCCTGACACAGCTGGCTCGCTTCATTCACATGCCGATCACCGAGCCCAACGCCACTTTCAAGTCCGTGATCAAGACTGTATGAGACACGGGAGGGAATCAGCCACCAGGCCACGGACGCCGTTTGTGAAATGATTGTTTTAACCGAGCTGTTTTAAAATGTACACCTTACTCTCGTTCGCCCCCTGGTGGCTAGCTGCAGTGCAGGTAATAGACCCAGCCTCCTTCATGTTATTAGACGGGACATGGACTAAAATTAAAAGTCAAAGTGAACGTCAAATAAATAGAATTCTACCATTTTAGGACGTTTTGCAGTTTATTATACCACTAATGTAAGTGTTCATGTTCCTGATGAGAAACATCATGATTGACAGCCGAGACAAACCAAACACATCTGAAGCTCGTGTTGATCAGAAAATGATTTTGTTTATTTGTGATATTCAACACAACGACATCATGACGTCAGAAAATAAGCTGCATCCCGACTTTTGGATCTAGATTGAAATGGTATTTATATTTTTATGACCTCACTGTAGTGGAGTTCTTTAATATAAAAACTTCACATCGACTGATATCGTGTGGTCTGCCTCTGTACCCTGGTCCCCATTGTTATTTTAGTCTTTTCAAGGAAACATGGCTTGATTAAAATGTGTCCTGTTGCTGGTTTGGTGTGGAGTGCACAGCGGGGACATGGAGACGAGGAGGAGAAGGAAAGAGGGGACGGTGGGGGGGGGGAGGCGGGGAGGCAGGGCAGCGCTCTTTGATGGCGGACAGGAAATCTCCAGGGTCATGAATTTTTCTGCGGGCTGCTTCCGCGGAGGTTACAAGGACTTGTACAGGTGTAAGGAAGCAGGTTGCCGCAGACATCTGCTCAGCTCGGGGAACCGGGTGTCCACGCCACCTCGTGCTCTCCTCCTCCTCCTCCTCCCGTCCTCACCCTCCTTCCCTCGCTCAGCGGTCTCCTTCGCTGACCCCTCCCTCCCTCAGGGCTGCCGCCCGCAGCCAGACTGCTGGATTGTCAGCAGATGCAGAAGAGAGACAGAAAATGAGAGTGAAACAGTTTTTTCTGTCTTTCTTTTTTTTTTGTGGTCTCACATTTAGCGCCTGAGGGCCTTCAACACCAAAGGTAGAGCGGGGGTGGACACAGCTGCAGTGCCGAACTTGCCCCAGGCACAAATAAAGAGATCTAATGTGGTTTGACTGTGTTGTCGGTGAGACCGGGGAGCCGGGGAGGCACTTCAGAGCCAACTTAGCACAGCAACATCTGCCGCCAAGTTTTGCCGGGGATCGACTGGGGACAGCAGGTAGAGGAAGGTGGCGGAGATGGGGGGCGGGGGGGAGGGTGGCCTTATTCTGATGCTCACTCTGGCTCTTTTTGAAGAGGCGGTGGTGAGCTCTCGCCGCCCCCACCTTCACACTCCAGGTATTGTTTTCTGAAAGCAGCTGTCCGCAAAATGTCCCAACAAGGTGCTGGATGAATGATGCATCACTGTACATTAAACCCTCCGAGTCCCACAGAAAAAGACACACGGGCGGGCGGGCCAGAAACGGAGAGCAGGCGTTTGAGTTCCTGTGAGTCCGTTTGGATTTCCATTTGTTCTTCTCACGCTCGTCTGCTCCTCGCCAGGGGGACGTGTGGGCTGAGTGTGCTGGTGTGTGTGGAGGTTAATGCTATTATCTGATGCACCTCTAGACTGTCGAGCTCAGAAAAGACGTTTTTTTTGTGGGATTCTGTGCAAAGAGTTCCTTCTTGAATCTTTTAGATTTTAAAGCTCTAATGAGTCATCCTGACATGTCGCTGTCATATTTGGCATCATAGCATTATTATTATTATATATTTCTCTATTTATGTAATTTTTGTCTTTAAATTTCATTCTACTAGACTTTTTTCATTTTTCATTTTCATTTTTCTTATATCTGAGCCCGAGCAGTATTCTCATGACATATAATGATCATTCAGAAGATACAGAAAGGAATAAGTCCCCTTGTGAAACCACATATGCAGATAAAAATAGAAGCTCCTCGGAGGAAGCAAGAATATGAAAACATTCTACGTCAGGATTCCGGAATATGTGAGAGGGTTTTGAGGTTTTTCACCAAAACAAACGGAGGCAGCAGAGCACAGTGGTCGTAGAAGCAGCCTCCCACCTCTCTGCCTCCCTCCTTCCTCCTCTCCTCTCCTCTCCTCCTCTCCTCTCCTCAGCTGTTTTATCTTTCCTTCACCCTGCCAGCGCTCCGTGCCCCGGCTGTGACAGCATCTTAATTTAACAGCCGCCGGTCACGTCGTAGACTGAGCTGTGGGAGCGTTTAATTAAGTGACTGTGAGCAGAGGGACTCCGAGGACCTGCTCTGAAAGAGTCCCGTCAGATGGAGGGAGCAGAGACAGAGAGAGAGAGAGAGAGGGAGAGAGAGAGAGGGAGAGGGAGGGATGGATGTAAGGCGAAAAAAGAAATAACGAGGACGAGGCTGGCATAAGCCGAGGGCCACCGAGGGTATAGGTGACAGTCTGCTTGCCGTAGCCTGGCGTGGCACAGCACGGCGTGGCACGGCAGAGCTGTCCTCCCAGGTCACAGAAATACATGCTCGGGTCTATTTTCTCCCTCCTCGGCAGCGGCCTCCGGTTTCTCTGGGCTCAATTAGGACGCTGCGAGGTGATCGTCGTCACGGAACCGGAGCCAAGTGAAAACGTTAGATATCTGCTTTTTACTTTCAGTATTTCACTGAAGGTGCCTCGCGAAGGATCCTAACATCAGTAGGTCATCAGTAATTATTCATCCTGAGAAAAGAGAGAATAATGAGTGTAAACAAACTGGAGCATGGCTCCGAGTGTTGGCAGCTTCTCTCTGGCCTCCACGCTGCATTTTTACATCGTGAGCCACCGGGTCACATTTTGTGGGGGGAACGTTCCTCCAGTGAAAAGGGAGCTGAAGTTTCTCTCGGCGACAGATGGTCGAGGAGCGAGCGATCAGTGTGGCAGGAAAAAATATTTCCAATATGTTTATCATCTTCCACAGCCATGATCTGTGATGAGAGCTGAGAGAGAGGATTGTGGGAAATGGAGTCTTTTGTGGAGCAGTTACAGATTACTATCAAACCAGGGCATGATTTTAGATTTCCAACCTTCCAATCGTTTAAATTTGATCATCCAACTTTAGATTTTTAATCCTTCACCCGTTGCTTTTAGGTTTTGTCCAGATATATGTTTGAATTGCATCGTCCACACAGAAACAGATCGGACGATAAAGTGCAATATTAGCAGCAGTAGATCAGATAAACCCAACTCCAGTAAATCAGGTTTAAATACAGATTTAAATATTGGACAATAGCCACGGCATAGGATCAGCAGTGAACCGGTGTATCAGTATGTTCCGGGCA